GTGGTGTGACCCCAGAAATCCCGGTGAATCTCGGCCGCCGCTCTTGATCGTGGGTTCTGAACCTCTGGCCGTGGAGTCGCATTTATGGCCTTGATAGCTGGTGAACCAACATCTCAGGCTGTCAGAATCCTTGTGAGAATGTCCACGTCTAATCACTCTGATCTTCATCACCATGTGAGAATGTCCACGTCTAATCACTCTGATCTCAATCACCAAATCCTGACTTCAGTCACTTCCCACCTTCCCTCATGCATTAAATGCCCCCTTGTGGCCAATGGGTTCGCTGCATTAAACAGGCACTACTTCATTAAATGAAGCCTGGGACCCTGCTGTCACGTGATGATTTGCCTTTAATGCCTTGGCCGCAATTTTGTTCGGCCTCGGCCTCGGCCTGCGCTTGAGGCCGAGATGATAATGCCTTATTATTTCTTCCTGTATCTTTGGGAAGGCGAAGTACCCTGGCAAAACGCTGCGTTTCAGCTTCTGCGAACAAGTGCCAGGGCCGAGAGAAAGGGCTCCTTCGGCCAGCTCATGATCGTGATTTATCAGGCACAAACAAATGTTTGTAAGTATGTTGGCGCCTAACCACTCTGATTTCTGTCACCAAATCCTGACTTGAGTCACTTCCCTTCTTCCCTCGTGCATTAAATGCCCTCTTGCGGCTAGTGGGTTTGCTAGTCAGAGGCGTTACTTCATTAAATGAGGCGTGGGGCCCTGCTGCCATGTGACGATTTGACTCTTAATATCTTCGGCCGTGTCCCCTTCGTCCCTCGGCCTCAGCCTGTCGATACCGTGTTTGTAAGGCCGAGATGACCATGCCTTCGCAACTTTTCCTTTGTTTTGAGGAAGGCAAAAGCGCTGCATTTTGGATTGCGGACAGGTGCTGAGGCCGAGTGGGGAGACCCCTTTGGTCAGTGTACGACCGTGATTTATCAGGCACAAACATAAACAGGCCGGTTCCTTTAATTTTTCTAAAACTCTTCGGGAGCTCATTCATGCTCTAGTTGCTAGTGGTGTTGGATAGGAGAAATTTCTGAGTTTTCGGCCTCCGATTCCGGCCACTTCAGTCGATTTTTTGGGGTAAGTCCAAGAACAAAAGTTGCTCCACTTTATGTGGTGAGCATGTAGGTATAAGTCTTGACCGGCATTGATGAAAGTTTTCTGAGGACAAGGTTACCCGATTGAAATTATCTGACCTTGGCCCTTTTGTCGTAGTAAGACTTCAACTGCTACTGGTAGGAGGCAACTCAGACAATGGCTCTTTTACGTTCTCCTTCATGTAGGTCGAAGTTGAGCTTCATTTGTTCGAAGTTCTAATCAACACTACCAACCTCAATGCTTATGGAGGGGATAGTTATGTGAGGAGGGATGATTGCTTCTGTCCTATAGGCGAGGGAAAATGGGGTTTCGCCAGTTGATCTTCGCTTGGTGGTGCGATAAGGCCATAGTTCTCTAGGGAGCTCATCTACCCATTTCCCTTCGGCGCCTTCTAATCTCTTCTTTAGGTAGTCCAATATAATTTTGTTAGATGCCTCGGCCTGACCATTGCCTTGCGGATACCCCGGGGTGGAGAGGTGTTGCTTGATCTTGTATTTTGCAAAGAAGGTGGTGATCTGCTTGCCAATGAATTGCAAGCCATTGTCGATAACCAGCGATTGCCAATCACTCCACGTCGGCTTCTTCAGTAGAGGATAGAGCTTCAGCCTCGATTCATTTAGTAAAGTAGTTGGTGGCACTGGTGGCAAGGGACCTATTAGGTTAATGGCCCATTGCATGAATGTCCATAGACTGTTCTGCGGATGGTAGACTTCGGCAGGTAGGTTAGGAACCAGTTTGTACCGCTGGCAGCGATCACATGTCTTGACATATTCGGTTGAGTCATGGCGCATGGAAGGACATAAATAGCCTATGTTTAGAGCCTTCTAGGCGAGTGACTTGCCCACAGAGTAGTTGCCAGACTCGTCGTCGTGAATTTTGCAGGAGGACCTCAAGTGTTTGAGGGTACTTTATACAGGTGAGATGAGGGCCGAAGTATGATCTTGAATGACCTTGTCATCTTGCATGTAGTATCTCACGGCCCTCTGTTGGACCGTCTTGGCTTCGGACTTGTTGGTTGGCAGATTTCCATTCACTAAGTAGTCAACGATGGGGTCATGCCAGCTGGGGTCTTTATCAATCTGCATTGTGTCGATTGGCTCTATTTCTTCGATGCTTGGCTGGTCAAGGTGTTCGACCGGGATGGAGAATCAGAATTGGGTGTCTAGCGTTGATCCTGGGCTCGCCAATGCATTTGCATGGGTGTTTTTTTCCTGTAGAACTTGTTGGATAGTGAAAGTAGGGAATTATTTGAAAAGTCCTTGGACTTTGTCGAGGTACTGGATCATTCTTGGATGTTTTGCCATGTTTTTCCATGTACTCGTCTGAGACTTGATTCGGGATCAGCTGGGAGTCTGAGTAGATGGCCAATCTTTTGATCGACAATTCTTGTACTAGGCACAGTCCGGCGAGCAATGCCTCATACTCTGCCTCGTTGTTTGAAGCACGAATGCCTAGTGTGATGGCTTGTTCCAAAAAAGTTATGTCTAGGGTGATTATTACGACTCCTGCCCTTGCTCCCTTATGATTTGATGCTTCGTCTAAGCGTAGTTGCCACATGTCATTGGGCAGGTTTGGATCGGCAAGAGAGGTATCGTGGTCTGCCCTCGAATTTTTTTGTTCACTAGCCTTCATGTTGAGTTCAACTTCATGTTGGATTTTCGTAGTAGGCTGAATGCTTCGGCAAGGTTTTTAATGTGGTCTGCTCATTGGGGAGCTTTGACTAGCATGTCGTCTACGTAGACCTCCATAGTCTTGCTAATTTGCTCCTTGAAAATTTTGTTCACTAGCCTTTTGTAGGTTGCTCTGGCATCCTTCAGCCCAAATGGCATGACTTTGTAGGAGTATTTACAACTTTCGATGATGAAGGAGGTCTTTGCTTTGTCGTCTTAATGCATGAGGATTTGATTATAGCCGAAGTAGGCGTCCATGAAGCTGAGCAACTGATTGTCGGAAGTTGAATCGACGAGCTAATCAATTCTTGGCAGTGGAAAGTTGTCTTTAGGGCATGCCTTGTTGAGGTCGGTGTAGTTGACACAAATTCTCCACAAGCCTTTATCTTTCTTTGCTACTAGAACAACATTTGCTAGCCATTCTGTGTAGGAGACTTCTTCAATGAAACTGGCAACTCGCTCCGGTGCGAAGTTGCGTCTCTTCTGTACTACTGGCTTGATAGCTAGGTTGACGTGAAGGTGATGGCAGATGGGGATCGATGCCTGGAATGTTGGATGGCAACCATTCGAATACGTCTTTGTTATTCTGGAGGAAGGGGTACTATCTCTACGTCCTCTTCAGGCTTCCATCCTTCTTCAGGAGAGACCTCCGAACGGATTCCCTCGACTTGGTCTTGATGCTTTGATTGCTATTGGGGAGTAGCTATTCCCTTTCCTTGGCTTGCTCGGCCGTCAAGAGCGAGATATGCTTGTCCTAC